TTATATAAAAGAGAGAATAATATGATATTTTTGCATTCACTAGTTCTTTCGAAGTCTTTTGCAGATAAAAATCTCATCACTTCTATCTAAAAACTAAACTTTTCTAAATTATTTTAACAAAATATTTGTGCCTACTTGAGTGTAATGATTTTATAATATTTAATCATTAAGGTTGCATGTGTACAACAGTTTGTGGATGCATGTGTATGTATAAACACAATTTTGGTTCCCTTAATTTGATATTTGGTAATACATTTATACGTTTCATTTTGCATTCACATCTTAATTCGATTTTAAGATATCACAAATTATAAATGAAGAAAACATTGTTTGTGCACTTGTAACAGTGTATAAAACAGAAATAAGACAACAAAAACATTAAATAAAACATGTGTCAAAACTACTAAAAACGTATAGAACGAAAATCTTTGTTTATACATAAGTGTATTAGAATAGACCGTCAAAGGAAGCCAGATGAAGTTGGAGTTACTCCCTCCTGCTGAAATACGTGACCACACATCTGTATCCGGTACTGTAATCACGAGAACGAGAATGTTGGACAGATTGATATATAAACAACCATCCCAAAGATAATCGATGTGTCAGACGGCAGACGGGGAATGTAAGTTTGGCGTGTCGGACTGGTGGGCAACGACGGGCGTTGCCTAATACAGGCTGAGAGAAACCTACGAAATATTGAAGTGAATAAAATATTAAGTAATGAAGATTCAAGTCTTATGCTATCGGCTAATCGGGACTACCCACGCTTCATTACGTAAATTTACTATATCAGAAGTCAAATGTCAATCGTTCAGTTATTTCACTGTAACAGTATTTATACTGTAAACATATACCAACAGAAGTAACCATTGTAGCTTAAATATAATTCTGTTTTTACGTCAATAAACTAAGAGTTTCTATCATATGATTTTGTTCATTTCGGGTCATTCTTTGCTGGGAAATGTATTTTGCCTTCTCTTGAGAGCTTGTGATTCGAGTAGGGTTGGGGACCATTCTTAGTGTGCTTTTGATTTAGGAATCTTCATGCCAGCATCCTTAATTGCTATTGTTATGTCTCGGTATGTTATGCTTGCAAAGTTCAAACTGTGCGAAATTATTTATAAAGGATTATTGTGCATATCTCTGCTTATCATATTTATGTGATGGGGGTCACCACGTCTGCTGTCAAATGATACCAGATTGGAAACTGATTGAGAATAAGGATGTATCAAGTTTGATTTCTCGCTGTGGTGTTGAATCAACGAAAATTGGGCTAATGAACCCTATGACGAGTTTGCCAGCTGCTATGAAAGTCTGTAAGTTGAAACGATACAGTTTTTGACCTGACTCAGCAATGTGGCTGTCATTCACTTGCGACAGAGCAGATGGAGTTCTGGAAATCTGTTGCATTATAGCACGAAAGGGAGTGGCAATTTGGTATAAACATATAGGTATCGTTTTCTTTCACAAGCAGAAAAAGCGTAGTAGCTGTTTTAGAAATCAAGTAAAAATACATAATTTTCATTTTTTTTAAACAGCAGAAACAGAGGAAAACATTTATTTAAAGGCATTAAAACCTATTTTTCTTTCTTTCTTTAAGTATACCATGATATTGTGATTCTTCGAAGAAGTATATAAATTTAAAGCCGTCGTATTCGACATAGATTCAATGGTTTTTTTCTATTACTATTTTTCTTTCAGGCCGCACTAACCCGAACATCTATAAACACACCAGAGTCTTATTTTTCATGTAGTATTCTAACGGTAAACATGTAGGAGGATATATTAGGATGGCAAGATCGAAATAAATAAATGGACTTTAAAAACCAAAATTTTAAAATTTAAAACATCATAATTTTATTCAGACATAATTTATTTATCAAGATAAAAACCATCTGAATCGATAAAAAGGTGTCAATGTTTCGACAGAGAAGTATTTGCAATACGATAAAAAAATAAAATAAAAAACTAGTGTCGCAAGAGTAGGCAAAGCGTGGCAAGGCTTTTTTGCCCTGTCTACATTTAAGTACATCTACTGGAGGGTATATAATTACTAATGGAAGGGACTGATGAACATGCAAGATGAGTAAGATACACAATGCTTAAATGCATGTTTTTAGTCGTGTATTTCTGAAATATGAGATTTTACAATATCATGTGGCTGGACTGTATCAGTTTTCGATCACGAAACTTGCCATGATAGTCTGACCAGGTAATCAATTACGGTAGAGCACCAACAGTCAGGTTGATCATGTTAGGATACATTTTAGTAATGTTGAACGTAGAGCAAATTTGTTGACACAAGTAAGCGAGATTTTCCGATTACTGTAGAGAGACAATATTTAATCAGTAGTAAACAAACAATCAATAAAAGATCACTTTTTAGACGAACAAGCAAACTACGGCAATTGTCAAACTGTGTAAGATGATGAATAGTCAAATCAGAGTGAATTTACTTCTGAAATTTCATCACTTTACAAATTTGTATAAAATGCCTTCTGACTGTTGAATGAATTACTACAGTTTTGCTCTCAACGTACCAGTATCAGATACTGATCAGCGGTCACATCTACCTGTAATTATCCATTATTGATTGAAGTTTGGTGATAATAATCACGCTCATCTTTGAAATCCAGATCACCGGAAGTGATGTTTTGAAACCAACTATGCACAGTCCGTTCTGAAAACCCAATGACTGATTTTAAACACTAAAATTTGCCTTTTTCTTCTTCGTTAGAATTCCTTCTAAATATAATAAAAATTCAAACAAAATACGAAGTTGAAAATGAACATGTACTCATAGACAAGGAATAATGCGAAAAAACAATCGCATTAATACAAAATCTGGTATTTATTTTATTACAACCTAATATATATATATATATATATATATATATATATATATATATATATATATATATATATATATATGTGTGTGTGTGTGTGTGTCGACATTCGAGTTATGCCGATCTTATGTCTATTTATCTTTCATATTTATTTTATCTCTATATTTAACATCCATTGCTTTGTTAGTAGGCATTATTAAGTGAATCGTATGAAAAGTATGGTTATCCACATTAAAATCTTAAACAGTGGGCCACATTCAATGTGAGATCAGCAGCTTCATGACATAATGATCACAGAATTTAAAATACGTACCGAAATCAGCATGGCAAATAGTCTGGTATGAAATAAATAACACACACACACACACACACACACACACACACACACACACACACACACACACACACACACACACACACAATGTACCAATTTTTTATCATGACAAGAATTTTCCAAAATGCTTTGAAATTTCCCACTTAAGCTGTAGCTACATTTGGCTAATCAAATAAATATATGCTCTGTTCTTTTTTACATCCTGACACTTTTCCTCAGTTAACAACATTTTAATATATAGAAATTTCTAGTAGATGATCTTTTCCCCATTCACAGCATTAACGTTTTTGTATGAAAATCGACTTTAGAATAATTAGTGTTTTTCAATTGATTTGTCATATGAGAGCATGTATTCCACGATGTTGTAAAGTTGCCATGTTTCATCGTTTGTCACCGTTTATTCTCTTAGCTTTATTCTAGCTTTATTCTTAGCATTTTATTCAACGAAGCTGCACATAAAAGCGGCTGATATTTCACTGGTTCATTTAGATATTCTTGGGATTTAGCGATATGCAGCATCTTACAATGTTTCATTATTCTTATGTAATAAACTAATGGGGATTTCACAATTGGATAGACAATGGAAGATCGCTGAAGAGAAATCTCGAGCATAAAAATTTGCAAAACATCTGACACGTTCAATATATATATATATATATATATATATATATATATATATATATATATATATATATATATGGACAGTGATAGTGAAAATAGTTTTCATTCAGCTGAGGCAAGACGAAAGTAATATAAGCAGAATATATTATGCAACTTTCTCAAAGGAGAGGGAAAATGTCCTTGATAGAAAATTTGAAATTCGATCATCATTAGACACATACTGTTTGGTTTCACCCATGCACACGTAAACTATTTGTAATTCTATCAAATTCACAACGCACCCGTGTCATTTATATGTTTGGTATCTAATTTTGTATGTATTTTGACCTGGTGCCTGCAGTAGTTGGGCAAGTTTTTAAGGTTGACAAGCTCTCTATTTGGGAAGATTGGCATAACGCAGATCTCTTCATATTTGTTTATTAAGACAGGAAGAAAAAAAAAGAAAGGGAGGAAGAAAGAATGTTTAAAAAGAGAGCAAAGAAAACTTATTCATATATAGTAAACTTATCATAATATTTTTCACTTATTTGTGACGCACTTTGACATTTTTTAATTCAAACATGCAAAACTAGAATCAACCTCTCATATTCAATCGAGTTTTAAAATGTTTCTCTTCAAACAAATCTGCGTCCTTATTTCATATTTCTGATTTCAATAAAAGTACCTATTTTCACACAGCCACAGCAAAAAACAAACAGGAAATATCAAATAGTACACAGTGTGCAAAAATAGGTAGACAAACATGTAAAAATATACTTATATTTACACGTCATTGTAATCATAAAATATATAAATATGAAAAATCACAAAAAGATCAACACAAGTTTGATAAGAATTTCCCCAAAATGAGGACGCATCAAATCTATTCATTTTTTATCTTCAACGAATAACTTTCCAATTATTTATAAGGATTTCTTTTTTTAAAACGGCTGCCATAATGCCAGACTCGACGCCATTTTATTTTGTTGTGTCTTTGTCTCTGATTTTTCTCAATGATGCCGCATATGTCGTCTTCGTTTTTCTTCATCGCATATTTTTGTTTGTTTGCTTTTCCTTTCCTATTTTTCCAGCGGAAAAAGCTTGTTGAGTCTTCATTCCATTTCCAAACACTTAGGCAATATTGCCTGATGTCAACCGATGGTTAATGGATGCTGGTGAATGAAGAAGAGTAATAAAGGAAACAAGAAATATTTAAGTGCTTATAGAATAAGAATAAGATAAAATATGAATGAGGACGAAAAATGAAGAAAAAGACGAAAAAAAAACAAAAGGAAAATTATAATCTTAAAAGGTATATAATAAAAAGGAAAAGAAAAGAAAACTATGATGACAGATAACAAAATACATTGAAAGAAAGGGAGATGAAGAAAGAGAATATGAAGACGGTAAAGTATATGATCAAGAGAAGAGAGCGTCAGTAGAGGAAAAGTATATAAGAATAAACTTTGAAAATTCAGAAGAATTAAGAAAGAGGAAGAAAAGTAGAAAAAGAAAGAAACGGAAGATGGGAAAGCGAGGTAACTGAAATGAAAATAAAATAGGAAAGAGAGAATGGGAGGATGATAACATTGTTTCTCATTGTAAACATTTTTGGTTGGTAATGTTTGATGCACTCTGTTTCTCTTAAAGCTTCAAATGAGAGTGTGCGTAGAAAATGAGATAGATAGATAGATAGATAGATAGATAGATAGATAGATAGATAGATAGATATGAGTTGTTCAGAGAAAAGGAAAATGATTCTAATTGTGTATTGGGCTTACGTATAAGAACAGGGCAGGCAGTCACGAAAGGCATGTCCTTAAAATTACTTAATTTTCAGAATATGCAGAACATCACTGGTACTGTAACTTGAACCAACCATATAAAAATCCACCAACCTGCTAACTAGATATATTGTATTATTTTATATTTGAATGAGAGACCTGCAGATGTGATAATGGGAATCAGCAATTGAAACTCTAAGGTTTAGAAAACGAATAGCTCTATAAATATCTGCACGATCAAATTACAACGGGATATGATTTTTTTTTATTAATTTTTTATTGTTATATTAAAAACAATCCACGAAATATAATATGAACTGCGGTTTTTTCTGCAAAATAACATACTCGGTAATCAATCAAATAAATACTGAATACTGAGTTCCTGACCTTGGAGTGATGCAGAAAGACAGTCAGACAAGGTGTTCTACAAGAGACCCGCCCCCCCCAGAATATAGGAAGAAACGCAAAATTGTGAAATTTATAACACAGTCCATCTACCTCAAAATTACACCCTAAAGTTGATGCGGTAAAGATTGTCAAAGGAGAAAAGTTTGTATTATCATTAAAGAGATAAGGCTAGGAGAAATTGAAATTATTAAGGGAGTAAGTGAATAAGTTTCTGTAATGTATCTCAAAAATATCATATCGATTTTATGCAGGGACTAAACGTTGTGTACAAGAAGGATGAACAAATAGGGTCAAATATGTAAAAGCAAGATAGAAGAAAAATCACTCGGGAAGAGAACAAATCCTGTCAGTATTAAATCAAGAGTCTAAGCGTGAGAAGACTTGCTTTCACCGAATGAAATAGTTTTTGAGTCGATGAGAAAAAAAAGAACGTGCGCACTATTTTAAGTTTGTTGACATGTCATACTTGCAGCTTTCATGTCGAAAAAGTAAGTTTCAAATCAAAATTCATATATGTTACGGATTTATTGATCAATCCCCGTTTGAATTTTCATAGTTTTAAAACTTTAAAATATAACGAAAGAAAAACGGTAATTATTATAAGATATCACAAACTCGGGTTACTTGAAGAAAACCCCACATTGACACCTACTTTCTAGTGATGACACATCGCCCAAAACTATTAAATATACACAATTTCTAGAGAGAGAGCGTGAGAACTCCAGTGGTAATTTCTTTTGAAAGCCGTAACCGCTTCAAACATTCTTGATTCTAATGGCCTATCCGCAATTCCTAAGCAGGACTTCAACGCTGCATCAACAGACTGAATCAAGAACAGACAATTTTATTCAGGTTTCTTTTCACTCGCTTTATTTTAGCGAGAATATTTTAGACATCGTTTCTTGCGAGAAAAAGAGAGGGGAGAGCGAAAGAGAAAGGGTGTCACCATTTCGTCCAACAAACTCTCTGCTCCATGTGTTTGGCTTATATCACTGCTAAAACCAAGGGCACGCAAGGAATTTTCGAGGAAGTCTCTGGGTTGAGCATCAGAGAGCTTGACTCTCGACAACCGCAAAAGAACTGTTCGTTGACGCGCGTTTTCCATTATTATATCAAGAATTAGACACAGTCCACCACATGGCCACGGGATACCCCCCCCCAACTCAGTTTGGTTCGTCAAAGTTCAGTACGGTAGGGTGGGGAATTACAGTCACTGCAATCATCAATTTTCCATTTTAGTCAGCTCATGCATTCTCTGATAATATACTGAAAATGGGTTAATACACTTTTTGTAAATATAATCTTCTATTGTAAATTATAATCTTGCATAAAGAGAGTCGAAAGTGTACATATACATATATACAGACATACAATGGAACCACCCGCTTTATTGGCAATTTGTTGGAACATATCCACCTATATGCATATTTATACACACAGGATCATCCCTTAATGGATTACCGATTAGCTGGAAAATTTCAAATCAGACACCAGTTTGTAGGAATACTTCATACGCTTGTACTTAGAAAGTTAGCATTTCCAAAAATGGGCTGTCTTCCGTATAGAGAACTCACCATCTTTTTTCATGTAATAATAAAAAAAATCAATTTTATTCATTCATGCATAATACGATTTATTCTAAGGTTTTATAACATTACGTTTCCCCCCTAAGAAATCGTTATGCGGTAACTTGAGAATATGGATTTATGTCTCCTACTATCTATATTCTCTGAAAATTCTAAAACAAGAAATAAAGAATATGCATACATCATTCTATGACCATCAATCTTTCTACACTGAATCAGTTCGGAAAAGTAACAGCATCATGTCGTAAGTGGCACATCCAATAGTCATAACCGTTGAATAGTGAAGCGATAGCAGAATTGATAATTCAGATGGTTTATGACAGAGCCTTGGCATCTAATGACAACAGTGAACCACTGAGAAACTATATTGTTAATATATAGGAGTATGATAATAGTTACATTTGTGAGTTACTAAAGTCATTTTTAAATATTTTTATGACATATGTAGATGGATTAAAATGTAATGACTATATTTAACTGTAGCTTTGCTGAATCTGAAAGATTTATCTGGAAATGATTTTGTTGTTTAGGCTACAGAAAAATTTAATTACACATGAATAATTTTTATGTTTACATGCTGTCATAATTAGAAAATACGTCATTCATTTTTATCTGTGAACATAAACTGGCTTCTATAGACGTTTCCTTTCAATATTTTTAGTATTAATAATTAATATTTATTCATATTATCAATAATAATTAATTTGTAATGTTTTGGCCTAAAATTGTGCATTGTATGAAATTTATTCCATTGATAAATGCGTTCAGTCAGAAAACATTTGTTAATATTGATTAACTCATTATCTTTCATTATTAATAATCCAAAACTAGTAACATACTCTTAATAAATTGCGTCTTATCTAAATTTATATTTACAATTAGAAGAAGAAATACTTATATTATCTAAGTCTAGGCCGATCATTTGTAATGAACGATTAGTGTTAGTTTTCGAGATGAGCATAATATTCGTGATGTTATTGTGAAGTTGTCTGACTGATAGAATTGGTTAGTGTTTCCCAGCAGATACAATAACGTGTAAATTATCGAAATCTTAGTTAATATTGTCTCAATGGATTGAGATATTGGCTCGTTAACAAGCGTTCAATGGTAGGTAATTTATTCGGGGAGTTCAGACATAAATTTTGGAATAATTTCTAGGTAGAGAATGCAGAGAAGGCGCTAAGTGTATTATCTTCAGGTCTGTGTTGCCTATGAGACTTATTGATATCTATTGATACAAATATTGCAACTCCACTCGACCCCATTTTTTCTATACCGTGCAGACACACCCACACGCGTGCGCACGCACACACACTCACACATACACACACACACACACATACATGTGAGAGTTATTGGCCATCCGATTTCACAAACAAATGCAGTAGTAATATAAAAGGTGGAATCAATGCCAACAAATTATTGGAAGATGTCCAGCTGCGAAAGAGACAGGATGAAGAGAGGTGAGAAATCTCAACACTCTTAGCGAACAGATAAATCAGAGAAATAAAATTAGTCGAATTAACAGAAATCGACCTCCACTCCACCAAGTACTCGCTAATATAACACGACGCAGTTGCTAAAACCATATCTCTAAGGTTTACGGTCATCATAAGGAATAATATAAATATATGTATATGTAAATCTCTTTTACAACACATACACCCACATCTATCTGTAAATGTATTTTATGTGTATTTATCTATATAGTACGTTGTTTATCTATCATTAATAACATTAGCTGTCAAAAAGACGAATTATTTCATTGATTCATTTTGCACATCTTGAATGAATTTTAACGCTATATAATACATAAGAATATAAGCAAATGTTATTTTAAAACATTATTTTTTCTGATAGTAAAAAGGAAATGTTTTAATAAATTTTTTGAATCGTCGAGATACTATTGAGAATTAACCATTAATATTAATTACTCAAATGACTACATATTTCTTCTGGATGAAAGCGTGTATAACACTGAACCTATCTATCTATTATAATTATAATGTATTTAACAAAAATCATATTTGTTGTGTATGATACACCTAATTTACATAAGTGGAGTACCGACCATATAAATATGGGTTGGTACCGGAAGACGAGGGAAGATTAAGAGATCGAATCCAGAGACTCTGCCCGACTGCGACTTAGTCAACCCATTCTGCAGGAACAGTCTTCCCAAGAATATACCAAAACTACCTGTAAATATTGTGTACCTTTTTTCATTGTTTCAATACATTTTGTTACGTACATTTTGTGTTGTATTATTATTATTCCATGCTTATTCAAGCTTCAACAATATTTTGCGTATATTTTTGACATTCTATAAACATATTCAAGTTCAAATTATTTCAGCTTGCTCAAATTTCAAGTCAGTCAATGTTGGAAGATCTAATTATGAACAACATTTTTAAACTGTAAATGTTTGAGAATATTTTAGAAAAAAACTAAGCACATGAAATTTATTCATTTTCGCTTTGCTGGTGACAGCTAATGGACATCCAGGAATATCATTGATCTTTTACCTCATTTATTTCTATTCACATAGTTCAAAATAAAAGAGCTTCACAGAATTAGCTTAAAATGTAATAATGAAGTCAAAAGTGTCGTTAATGACCGTCAATGGTTAATGGTTAATTTTAAGATTCTCATATATATAAATTTCAATCAATCAAGTACAGGTCACCTTTAATATTATAATAATTAAGGGACTTAATGCAATCTTTCAGCCATATTGTTCCATAGGCATGGGTTACTATTTTGTAATTCATCATCTCGAAAATGATTATCAACGACCGAAGCATTTGATAAATGACCTACTAAAATGTTTCTTTATCGCCTATTAGCTTTGCAGTTGTTTTTACAACGTATCGAAAAGCAAAACACTTATTTGTAAATTTTGTTGACATGTATTCAGCATCCAGAATAGAATGGAGAGAGTAAATTAATTAACATTGAAGGTAGAAGTACTAAAGTAAATGATTAAGATACTTAGGTACTATTTGGCTTTTCAGAAGAATAAATTCAGCATTTCTTGAATAATGCTCTAAAAGAACTACCGAAATGAAATGGAATCTCTTGAATATTATGGAAATATTGTATTTTGCGCAGTTCCATATTCTATTTTGACAAGTTCAGACGATGTAAAAACCATACTGAATAAACATAGAACTTTCGTTTTCTGTTTCTCAAATAATCTGAGATTAACTAAAGGAAAGCCGAAACTTTGTTTCGTTAAATATAACGAATCAGAAGAAAGATATGCATATAGTATATCTTACAAGCCGAACAAAACAGAATCTGATAGTATTACCTAAAAGTTAATGATGGCCTTGGTTTACTTTTGAGATACTATGCCAAATAACCTTCTCGATGCGACATTATAAGAGCACACGCGCACGCACGCGCGCGCGCACACACACAATCACACACACAATCACACACACACAATACGTGCGTAGAAATACTTATATAAAAACATTATATGCGGTTAATCCTCGATTTCGGTAAATCCTCTTTTATTTCTCAGCCAACTCTATCCTGCAGTTTGAATACATAAAGTCCATTTTTCACTCTCTGTTTCTCCCAAACATAAAGGATTAAAACATAATCGCTTCTTAAATTTTCATCATTCATTGCAGTTTTTTACTTTCTGTTCTTTTCTCTATCTTTCTTTTTGTCTCGTCCTTTCTCAAAACATTTTCTTTCTGTCTGTTAATGGGTATAAGAGGTGGGGTGAGTCCTACGCGTATTTCGTAAAGTGGAGATTGGGGAAGATGCTCATTGTATCTAAGAAAATACTGAAAGTATTAAGTGTATTAGAGAGATTAACGTGTTGAAAAGATTACTAAAAGAAAGAAAGAATGCTTTGATATAGGCTGTCTCTGTCATCCCTGTGCGTTTTAGCGTAAGTGCATTTGAAAGAAGTATCTTCGGTTTCTGAGCTGTTGGGTCAGTGGATCATATGGTGTTCATTGGCAGATTTCCATAACCAATCATTGTTTTCTATCCTCTGTGTGCTCATAATGTATGATTTTCGTTCTTATATTTCAAGGGACAGTTCTGCCATCTATTGGTCAATATCCACCATTCTCATAACACTTTAGTTCAACATATTCGACCTACAGCTCGTTTTAGGTTCCATGACCAATTTCATGTGAGATTTTAATATTTTCCCTTAAGATACTTCAAGTGATGAGTCTCCACATACATCAATTTCAGACAGTTAAAAACAATGAAAATTGATATATATATATATATGGATATTAAAATATATCGCAATACGTTAAACTGTAAGTTCCTCATGTCCATTAACGAGTTAAAATGACAAAGTCGCTCTATCGATTGTTATTCTTCTTGAGGAGAATGCAAAAAGCACAGAATCGTTGTTAACAGCTATCAATACAAATGATGATAGGCTTGGCAATCGAGATTATAGTGGTCAGCAAAAATCATAATATTGCTTCTATCCAAATCATATTTAACCTGATTCTGATGAAGAAAGGCAGGATGATTATGATGATGATGGTAATAGAGACTCTGTAATCAATGAAGGCAGTATGATGGCCATGATAATGATAACCATATAGGCTAACGAAAAAAAGAAAAGTGTAGAGACTCTAATAAATCAAGATAGGGTTATTATTTATTATGATGATGATGAACGCTTGTAATGTAATGCTTGAGACTATGTAATGTGTAATATAGAAAAGCAAGGGCGACGATGATGGCGACGTTGATGACGATGATGATGATGATGGGGATTAGAAGGAGACGATTAATTGTAAAATTCATGAGAAAAATAAATAATGATGTCAGCGAAATATATATATATAAAATGAAAATGGTGTGTTAAATTATAATTTTATGAGGGCTAGGGGATACGGGACTGATGTTGAGAAGTTGGGACAAATGGACTTCGTAAGACAACTATCAACACGATCATGATTATCTGTAAGTTGATCACAGAGACGGTTCTGGTCATTGTGAATTGTAAGGGTGATGCAGGTGGAGAGAGAGAGAGAGAGAGAGAGAGAGAGAGAGAGAGAGAGAGTTATGATGATAATGGTACGAGAGGAGATGTCAATAAGATCAGGCATGTTTTAGCAAAAAGAGTGAAAATGTTAATGTTCCTAACAAAATAAACATAGTGATAAGGACTGAATAATTCATTTTAAAAAATCTAATGATGAAAAAGATGGTGATGATATTATCTTGATAATAATTAAACTGATGATGATGATGTTTAGTGATTATGTTATTAAGATCAGTAGAAGAAGAGAAATGGAAAAAAATTATAATACATTAACGGAGTTGGACGAAAATATCATGAAAGATGAAGTCAGTCACGATGATAGACTGACAATAAAAATTGATGGATATAAAGATGGACGAGATGAAGATAATTGGAGCCAATGACAAAAACGATTGTGTGCGAGTTTATAAGACAAGGACAAGTCGACTCATCGTCTTGCAGTTGATAATAGGATGAACACTAAATTCTGGTTGAACAGGAATGCAAGGAATGTAGTCCAGTTTTCCAATAGCCTATATCTGAAAACCTCATTTCGTTTCACACGTGGCTGAAATGTATTTTTATATATATATATATATATATATATATATATATATATATATATATATATAATGGAAACATTCTGTGTGTCGCATTTTCCTCAGACCAAATAATATTTTTGTTGGTAGAATTATATATGCAAAGGAAAGCAGGGGAGATATAAAAATATATAATTCCTACACATAGATAATTCCATAATCAAAAAATTACTTTAGTCTGATTAAGTCCTTTCAGAGGACGAAACAAGTTACACGGAATTTCTTTCATGCTGTCATTCATTTGCCTGATATTCTTCTGATAGATATAAATATATATAAGATCATATTCTTCTTCACACACACACACACACACACACACACACACACACACACACACACACACACATATATATATATATATATATATATATATATATATAGAGAGAGAGAGAGAGAGAGAGAGAAAGAGAGAGAGATAGAAAGATATCTTCTGAAGGGTGACATTTTGACAAGATCCACTATAAGATTCATATGTGAAGTATGAATTTTAAATGTTTAAATGTTAAAAGTGAAAACGAGATCTTGTGATACGTTTTAATACTTTTTCAGAAAGAAAAAAAAAAACGATTTTCAAATATATATGCCATTTATGGAAATGATCCCATGACAGAGTCCTGTTAGTAAGCGTTTAGATAGGTACATAAGTAGTAATTTTGACCTGGAATATCGAGAACGTTCCAGATACACTGGAGTAAATTATTATGGCCAACAAACCATCACCGGCATACTCCCCATATGACGTAAGAATGTTGTAAAGCATTTGAAAATACTTGGATACGTAAAAAGCTAGGATGTTTGAGTGCCTCACGATTTAACGGAAAATAAACAGCCCACCTTTCTCTCTACAATTCTCTGCTCAAACGCAATAAAACAGTCCATTTTTGAGAAATAGTCATTTTATTTATATAATTATGCACCTCTGTTCACATACAGTATTTGTCTTTCTATATTTCTGTTTTTGTTTATTACACACACTCTCTCTCTCCTTCTCTCTTCAGTGTTTGTGTGGGGGTGCGTGTTTTTTTTACACATGGAGTAATAGAAAGAAGGATATAGAAAGAGATAGAGATAAAGACAGCGACCTATGCAAACCAATAGAAATAGCTACATTTACTTTGTGCGTATGTGTCAATAAACTTCTGGTTTTATATCGTGCCATAAGGCTATTGGCCATCGAACGCCGTCTAAATAAGCTTAACGTAATTTCCAACGTCACAAGTACAGTTGAAAGAAAAGATGTGACAGATGGGTAGCATGGATAGACGGAAGGAACGTGACTATCAGCTTCTTGCCTTAACCGATCGAAGGTGATGTGCGATCTGTCATAAAATCTATGGTGTTGAGAGTTCTAACTTGACAGAGCACGCGAAAAGCAAATGAAAAACAGAGTCGATCGTGTATTCAAATCGGACTCTTATTGACGGAATTTGACATCAAAGACTCATTCTTCCACTTATCTTTCAATTTTCTCGTCTACTTGTTGCCACTTAACTTTTGCGTATTTCTTATTAACTTTATTATTTTAATTTGTTCCGATGGGCAAAATATCTCTTATGTGAATATATACAAGTAACGCACCAATGACAGAAAAAAGACTATGAACAATTTCGGCATCTATATGAATCCTGTATGCAAATCAACGGACGTTTTACATGTTTCTGTAACAGAATGACTATCGTAAACTGATTAACCTGAGAAAATTGAAGTAAAGTCGAAGAGACAGTAAAACTTATTGCTCTTGCCATATTCATATATTTCACATTTGTAAATATTGAAAAATCAACGATTAAAAAAGACAATATTGACTTCAAAAAAGAAAATAACTTTGATGTAGTTAAATGTTATTTTTGGCAGTCTCTTATTTCTGTAAAACTAAATATTTGTCATTAAATAAAACAAATTAATTTAATATACAATATATTTCCTCATCCGTTGCATGTAATTTCTCATGTGAGCAAAACTTTGCTTCGTTCTCACCTTTAATATTAAAAATAATGTATATTTACGTGTTAATATGCTTTTCAATAGCGGCACATGTAAAATAATCTATGCATAAATTATTTTTAATAATATGCTGAATATTTTTGCATATTCATATAATTAAGGGGGACTACGTTTTATTGTTTGTTTGGTCAATGTTAAATCATGACCATCAAGAGATAAAAAGTTAAATTTGGCCAAAACATTATTCAAAACTATGATAATGGCAGAAAAACGTATTGTCACTGTCGTTCGTTGGCGTTCACAGAACTGTCGATTGCTACTAACACTTTCTTATTCAAGAGATTAACTTGAAACGACCAAGAAATTAATACTTGTTTCATTTTAACAATTTTCATTGAAAATTTCAACATCTACCCATGCATCTTTAATAACAATATGGAAAGTGTTATGACACTTTTCCCCATCCGTAGGCACCTTTTAAATTTCCTAACTAATAGAAACCAAAGAAAAATCGATATTCATCCAAATTCTGTCTGCATCTAGTTATTCCCCTTTTGTCTTCTGTCGGTGATCTTGGAAGTAACACTTTATATTGCCATGCCGTAATTTCTTTTTTATTTCTTTCTTTAACCCCAACACAACGAATGACACGACAAAAACCAACCTCGGAAATGCTCTTGGCTTGTGATTGCTTCTCAGAAAAGCTATTTCCAAGGAGTGAATAAGGACGTCTGTCCGTTCTAAGACATTATTAAATAGTACGCTACTTTGATGCTTGAATCGTGCCCAACAAAGACTGCTTCACATGGAAATAAGCTTGAAGAAGCCGAATGGCTTTCATTTTGGCTACCTAGAGATTTTCTGTGGCAATCAGTACCACTTCTGCCGATGACTGGCACGTCCAAAGGTCCTTTGTCACAACACAAAAGCCGATATTTAAAAAAAGATGCTTCCGTTTTGCTAGCAGCGTTCCCTGTGGCAAATGGGATTATATCAGGCGCTTTTCTGTTTTGCCTCATAATTGGCAGTTATATGGAATAGCTTCCCAAAAGATATTTCTGTATGTACATAGATATTTGTGTGCATGTACGTGTGGCATGCATTAAGTTCAACATTACAAAATACACAGAATAAATATGCAGATATATTTGCATATTCTTTTCATTTCTTTTATACATTTCTTTTTAATCCAAGGTTCATGCATATATGTACTTCCATTTTATTTCCTATCTTCTCTTTCTATCACAATATAAATGTTGTCTAAGGAATGAGATAAAAAATATTGAAGGAGAAAACCAAATGACATTCTTGAACGTCTGTCAATAGTAAAACTAGTCTCATTCTAAAGTAGAATTTAAGTAATACCGAAAATAGTTGCTTATAGTTTTGCTGTTAGAGTAATTATAGTCCATATTGGTTTTACTAACTCTTTAGTTATTGTTGACAGATGCCTGACATCGTTCAAGTACCAAGAGATGATAAAATACGGTTTGAACCCAAAGCTACCAATAAATAAAAGAAAAAAAGCTACCAATAAGTAAAAGAAAAAAGATAATTGATATTTCAGAAAGACAATATAAATTCTTCAAAGACAACTATTTTATATCTCATCACATTTTATCTGTAATGAAATGACCTGCTTTGTCTCAAGGGGAATTCTTCAGGGATTCCCTTTTATTCCAGTTATTAGTCATAGCCGTGAAAGAAGATACAAATTCATGAATATAATAGAAAAATGTACATATATGGGTGACTTAGAATTGTTTGTTAGGAAAAAGTATTGGAAGATTGATTATAGCAAAAATTTTAGGAAAAGACATGACAAAGAGATTAACTTGAATCGGCCAAGAAATTAGCGATAGTACACAACACCCTCAACATAAGCGATAATGCCGACAAAATATAAAGAAACAAAGGAATTATCAGTATCAAAAATCGTGTTGAAACGTCCAAAATGGGAATTATAATGTATTACATGTAAGAAAAGAGTTAAAGAAACATGGCAATAGACCTTAATGTAAGAGATGAAAAATGATGATAGTATGCAAAATGGCAAAAGAAAAGTTCTTTTCAAAAGTTAAATATCAGATTAGAATTAATACAGGTGAAAAATCATGAACATGATTCAGCAGAGTGTCCATAAAATGTGAAATAGAATCTGCTATTGAATTTTAGAAATTATGAGCTCATCTACCGCTTCCAAAAGACGTATATTTCATTAAACAAAAGGATTATTAAATAATACATTGATTGTTAATTAGGGAGAGAAAATAAAACACAGTTTTTGTTCAATTTCCTCTAAATTTACATAAATCTTATAACTTTATGCTTAGAGAAGATTGAGATAGCGATATATATTTTGATATATCAAGATCAATATTTGGGAAATTATATGACAAAGTGGAAAAAGTTTTTTCTTTTAGGTTTTTTTTAGAATTTTTTTCATATCTACCCGAATTAATTTTTGAGTCTTTTTCTTTCCATCACATTTATTAGTAAGTGTCCCACACTGATAATAGAAGATCTGTCAGAAATGATGAAA